CAGCAAGTTTTTTCCTTTACTTGAAAGTAATATTGAATAGTCTATATAAGTTGAGAGAAACAAGTTAGCTAAGAGCTTGTAAAAATAATTGGTACCCAGAAAAATTCGCTATTAGAAAACCGTGCGACAGAAAAATGGGCAAATAAAAACTAATTATACTAACACACTTTAATTTTGTCATTTTGTGGAAATATGTTTTATTATGGTACAATGTACATGTAGTCACTCTTTGTTAATGTCTATAAATGCTTGATTTAAGAAAACCAATAAGCCCTTGTGCACTAGGTTTCTGTTGCGCCATTTTTCTGCTGCACACCATTCCGGTTACCAAATTATTATATGATTGGATCAACAAGTTCACATTATTTGATATTTAAACATTTAAAGATTTCCACAGACTGATTTTATGGTACATTTCAGTGTTTGTCTAATAATTCTGCTATTTAAAACTGTTATTTTTGCTTACAGTTTTAAAGGCTCTTAGGACCATTTCCATTAATTTTTCTTTATCCATCATTTCCTTGCTCTTTGCATTTATCTGCAGGTAAAATTAAAAACAAAACCCATAAAAACAATTTAAAGTATTGTCACATAAATGATATAACATTTAAATAATTATTTTTGCATTTTAGAATCTTTGAATAAAAAATTGTAGGTTTTTAAAAAGTCATTCAAATTTGCTTTATATTGTAAATTAAAAGCTTTTAATCAAATATAACTTACCACCAAGAAATTTGATGTTAGCAGATAGTTCTCTTTCTTGAATTTCTTTAAAATTTTCTTATATAAATAAAATGATACAAATGTACTTTTTATGTTATTCTTATTTTAAAAACAAATACACAGCAAAATAACTTTTAAAACAAATGTCTGATTGTTTCGCTGCATTTTCCAATATAAAGATTGTTTGTTTAAAAATTATCAATAAGTTTAGTGCTAATACTTACAGTCGACATATTGAGTTTGATTTTCAAGTCAAAGATGTGAAGTACTAAATCATCAAGCTTTTTCACCTGAAAACAATGTGTTTCAATAGTCGTGGGATAAAGTATAAAATAGTTGTTTTATTTTACACATTATATGGCTTGATTAAAAATTTAGAACTATTTTAAATTTTAACAAACACTTTCCTTTTTGTAGAATGCAATATTACATACCATAAATGCATTTGACGGTTTATTGCTAATAAAAAGTCTGAGGTCATCAAAACATTTCGTAGCATTTCTTAAAGTTGTTTCATAAAACATTATGTAGTTATTCAGGTTTTGTACAGAACTTTGTATAAGATTCGATTCAGGAAATTGGTGCTCCTTTTGTAAATGAAATTTCCTGAAAGAATAAGTGAACATTAAATACCAGAATCGCTACATATGTTGGATAAATAGTCATCCTGTGAAACACCATTGAATATAATTGTTTTTAAAATATACTTTGCAGCACCAAAAAAAAAAAACCCAGACTTATCATTTGTGTAATAAGCTTTGAAATATATTGCTTTGAATTCTTATCACAATATTTTGTTGATGTTGTTAGCAGATTACAGCAAAGTGGAAATAATTTCTAATGTATATTCTGCAAGCAAATAGGAGACAACAAAAACTAAAGCCAATTAATTTCAAGAAATATATATCTATTTATTAATTAACTAGCAGAAATTCAAATTAGCATGTTTCAATTGCTTGAAGATATTTTTTTTTAACCATCCTGTTTAGCCATCATCTATGTAGGCATAAACATGTTTCACACCAAGCATTAATCTGCTGCTAAATGAAGTAAAAATGGACTATAACTGTGTTAGCTCGATATTAAGAGACCAGACTTTAAGTATGGTTATTTGCTGAATTTAAGTTTGGATTATGGTAGTGATAAGTTTCGATCAGATTATGGTAAGATTCATTATTCTTTCCTTATTAAAGTATTGATTATAGTTGGATAAAGTGTCTGGTCAGGGTAAAAGCTGTATCAAAGTGTATTAAAATTTAAGTTAGGTAGATTTAAGGTCATGTTATAATTAGATTTTTAGCTTGGTTAGGGATAGGCAACGAGTAAGAAATAAACTGTTTCAGTTAGTCTCAAGTCAGGAATTTTCGCCAATTGTTGGGTGTTATAGTAACATTTAATTATGCTATTTATTTTGGTGATCTTTTTATTTAAATTTTTTTGATCATATTAAGTTATTTTTGATTTTTCAATAAATGTTGTGCTTTTTTTCATTTGCATTGGAATTAGCATTGTTTTTTTAGTTTGCTCTGGTGTTTTTGGGTCGTCCATAAATGACGTCACGCTTTTTTTGGCCATTTTTACCTCCTCCCTCACGTCACACATCGTCACAAAAAGTCAGATCCCCCCCCCTAAATCGACGTCACACTCCACCCCACCCCCACCTCTAATTTAAACTTATCTTATGTTTTAAATTTTCTGTGTTTTAATCCCTTTAAAATTACCGCTCGTTGACACAGCATTAATAATGAGCGTGCAGGACCCATACGTAGAACCAGCAGGTAAACAATAATACAGCAAGTCAATGTTAAATATGAAATGATTAAATTTAAAAAAATACTTAATGTAAATGTAGGTATTTCTTGCAGACGTGACGACTCAAGTGAGAATAACAATATATTGAGTAGAGTACGCGAATTATTTAAATGTAAGCACTATGACCAGACCTTTGATTTTCCTGTTATAGTTCATTGTAGCCTATATGATGGACTTAATGGATGCCATCTCTCACAAAGCAATATAAATGTCATAGATTTTAATAGTAAAGACTCTCCACTAAATTATTAAATTGCGTGTTTTACTGTTGGCGAAGAGGATGTTGAAAAATGACAAGAAACACTCTTACACTGACTTAGATCTATATCTTAGTAAATTTCATTGAAGTTTCATTAATAACAGAATTAAAAAAAAATATAACGAAGGTTACTTTGTTTATCAATATAAGAAAATGATGCACATTTCAAATCAACAAACAATTAAATGATAGTATATGAAACAGGTTATACATAATTGACCAGATCTATATACATTCATATTTCTAAATTTTAGCAAGATTATTAACCGAAGTATTAAAAAAATACTTACAACAGTATTAATGTGCCAACGCTCAATAAAAAGTTGTGATATTTAAGCTTATTCGTTCTCCCATGTAGAGTTAAAATGTTCCTTCATTGAATACACACGGAAGGAATTGATTTTTTTCCCCCGCATGGAATGGGAATTCCCTTTACACCAAGGTCTTCCTCTTCTATCCAATCTACACTCTCAACATAGGCGTTTATCACCATCAGTTCAAGTTGGCGACGTGCAGCAACTGCATCACTTTTTAGTTTACTCGAAAAGGCAATCAATTTTACGTTTGGCTATGAATGGTAAATACTACACCGAAATCGTGTGTGCAGTTTTTAATCTTACGCGAAATCATTCTGCAAATCCAAGAATTCATCTTGTAATTCTTCGGGAATGCTGGCAATATCAAGGGAAGAAGTGAATGGGTACTGCGTCAATGCAGATTCTCTTTTCTTCAGCTCAGAGAGATAGCGCTGCAGTTTGTGTTCAAGAGATTCAAGAAGTCTAGAAATTGCTTCTTTCAAAATTTTAATTATCTCACAATTAGATTCATCTACCAAACTGCAGAGTTTCTCAAATTTACAATATTTCCAAGATTTATTTTCTTCGCCGATTTTGCAGCTTTGATAAACATGCCCCGAGATTATCATGGAAAGTGATAATATTAGCTCATTTTCCCTGAAGCTTCAGGTTAGGCTTATGTTGATGTTCGAATATATCTGCTAGGTATGATACTCTCTCCGACCACTCTATGTCGTTTTAAAATTTTAAGTAAACCAAAAGGTCTTGTTTCCTTTACACTTCCAAGAACAATTTGATTTCAGACAGATTTCAATTAAAAAACACGATTCACAAAATTTTGTTTGACAGCCAGCGCGCTGTAGTGTAGAACAGCAGAACCTCGTGATCTTTATTCATGTCTTTGCACAGTTCTTTGAAGGCTCCAGATTTTATATAATTTACGACTTATACTAGCAATGGACTCTTGATGTCGATTGGTTAGGGACTCACACTAAAACGTCACTTTCTTGCGTACAGCGTCACACACTCACTCGTTCAATATACGGCCGCACCATCAATCATGCGCACCTATTTCCCTAGTCGAACATGCATCATAACACAGTGGTTAGGGAGCTAAATCTTTTCTGTTTTCTGAAAGCCCGATGGCGCACCATCCGTACAAACCCCCACAGCCGTTTTAACCCATTTTATCACCCAGTTTAAATAAAAAACGTATTTATTTTCTTCATACTATCTTCACAAAATAGCAACTCTTCTTTGCTATCATCAGAATGAATATAGACAAAGACCAGCAACTGCGAACACGAACTTACGTCTGTTGATTTATCAACTTGAAAAGCAATCAATGGTTGATTTCAATAAAAATGTGTTATTTAACATCTACGGACATGTCTGCTATAAGCCGCTGAATTTTATTATTAGGCAGAAATATTTGTTGCATTTTTACTGCACTGGAATCTCCAAGAATTAACTTCACCATCTTCAACATGCAGCGTTTGATGAGATTTTCTCCTGTTGTGTTTTTTTTTTGTTTAGCATTTTCTATCGCGACTTCATTTGATGCTTGCACTAATGCTTTGTTTCCTTGGTGAAAATTTCCTGTTCAATCAAGTCTCTGACGTATGTTTGCGACTAGCTTCATGCCGACGAAAGAACTCCATATCTTTTTTTGGTGTGTTCTGAATGACTCGTCTCAAATGACGTTTTAGTTTTGCAGATTTCACAAACTTGTGACTGAGAACAACTTTGAATAGTACGCATTGCTTCTTCTCTATTCCATTTCCAGTTATGTTAGTACAGCCGAATTTCAGATATTCTTCTAAATATTTGTTTTTTAAATTACTATACACACACAGACAAACATGAGGACATGAGGACAGAATTGCTGAGTCCAATTTTTCCAACTCGGTTACGCATAGAACGCTGAAATTTTGATAAATCTGCAATTATTATTATCCCCGATTAAAATAAGTCCCCGATACTCCGTATATGATGAAGTACTGAGGTGCAAAACGATGAAAACTGTCAAAATTTAATGTGACTTTTGTGCACGATTACAATACTCTATATACGAGAAAGTAAAAAGGTCTAAAATATTGAAAAAATTATTCATAAAAATGTAATAACTAGACACCATTTGATGATGCGCTAAAAGAAGAAAATAAAGAATTTTCTTTAAATGTGTAATAATGCACCACTATTTAAATAACCTTAAAGAAAAGGCTGTTTAGATATATTTTTCTATTGAATAGCTTATCTAACACACACGATTTTTAAATAGTTATTTAAATAGGGGTGCATTTCTTGTGCAGTATTTTATACAAGCTTGTTTTTAAAACGTTTTTTTTAATGAATATTTTGTATATTAGTGAACAGACCTTAAATTTAGTATTTATGAGCTTCAAAGTTCAAACAAAATAAAATTTACTTACATGTGAATGCCTAAAAGAGATAAAAGCGCATCTGTTTCGTTCAGCATTGATTCTTCATCTTTTGAATCGAATATTAGAGAATCAGCTGTGCCATTCATAAATTGGTCAGAGGCCTGAAAATTGTTTTTATTAGATTTTAAAAAGCACTCTGAAAGTAATAGTTTAGCACCATAAATCAAAAACTTAAATACATTTTGTCTTACATAAGCCTGTGGTATAATTTTGAAAAAGCGCGATTTAACCTCTTAACTACTTCAAAATAATAGCACTGGACAATATTTGGGCCTAGGACCAATAATTTGCTTTATTCAATATGTTATCTAGACGTCCAAATTTAAAAAAAAAAAAAAACACTAGCAGGAATAAGTCAATATGAGAAATGCAATAAAAAACTGTTGACTATGTATATATATATATATATATATATATATATATATATATATATATATATATATATATATATATATACATACATACACACATATATAATATATATATATATATATATATATGGGTATGCAGCTAGTATATATATATATATATATATATATATATATATATATATATATATATATATATATATATATATATATATATATATATATATATACTAGCTGCATTCCCATACTTCGCCACGGTGTGGATATGGATATTACATCAGAGTTTACGGCGCTGCACGCGGATGGGGGTCCCCGCATAGGGGCGAATATTCCTTCAACGCACCATGCTGCAGGTAGCCCTTTGGTATGAATATGGATATTAAAAATTAAATTACGGTAAAAAAAATTGAGAGGAAACGCTCTCACGAACGTCCGCCCAGACATTACTCCTCCCCGAACCCAAGGAGTAATTTAAACCGTAATATTTCCCGACCGTCCGCGCCCAGGGAGAGACTTCCACAAGGTTCCAAAATCTATATCTATGACGGACTGACACACTACCACCAGCGTTATATTGTATATATATATATATATGTATATATATATATATATATATATATATATATATATATATATATATATATATATATATATACACACACACACACATATATAGGCATATATATATAGATATGTGCATATATATACACTAGCTGCATCCCGTGCTCCGCCACGGTAAATCTTTTTAAAATATACCAACTTTGGAACAGAACAAAACAAACAAAAACACAACACAAACACAAACAAAACACAACCACAACCACAACCACAACACAACCACATTACAACCACAACACAATCACAACACAACCACAACACAACCACAACCACAACACAACCACAAAACAACCACAACACAACCACAACCACAACACACGGTAAATCTTTTTTAAATATACCAAGTTGGGAACAGAACAAAACTAAATACAACACAAACGAACGCAAAGAAAAAACAAAAACAAAAAACCAACACAACACTCAATATAAACTCAATTTAAATGTAATCATAAAGGCATATTGCTCACAGTCTATCCCGTAGCGCCAAATCGCGCCCTTTCCGAGCGCCGGCGGAAAATTTCGATTTACACCCTCCCACCTCCCTCAAACTTTCGATTTCCACCCTCCCCCCCTCTTGCTACTCCTCTGTTATAAAACCCCTAGCTTTTCCGCAAATAAATTAAAGGCAGTATTTAGAATATCCGTGTTTTACCGACCATATTGCACTTTATAAATTCATGCATTTTTTTCAGTACTTTTAAAAATTTACAATAAAGTTTCATGACTAAAACCATTGCGCACCTAATGAACGTGATGGCTTAATATAGTAATGGAGAATAGTTGATTAAAAATTATAATTAGTAAACAGTACATTCAGTGAATAAAATTAATAAAAGATAGCCTTTTATCAATCAATGCTAATAATAATATTCCAACAATAATGTACTCTTACACGTCTGCATAATTTGCATTCACATTTTGCTAATTATATTATTCCAACAATTATTCCGTCTTGCAGATTTTGCATTCACATTTTTAGCGTGAGTTCAATTTATCTTTGAATTACCTCCATTGGCAAAATTACTAAGCAGTTTAATTAAATTTTTCTATCGTACTGTTATTATGTTATTAAAATGTATCCACTTTTTCTAGGAATATAAACGAAAATGATATTTGACATTAATCTTTTTAATACGTTTTAGCAGTTTGCGTGTATTTAATATTTTCTTGACGTTATGCGAAAGAGTAAAAACCGTGGCAATTATAAAATAGCTCTATGCCGCTATATAAACAAACCCTACTCTGATACTTATAATAAGACACTGCGGTGCACTGAAAAGCACAGCATGGTGCGAATGTTTACTTTTATGGTTCCAAAAGCTATAGCGATGACAGAAGGAAGGAAGGACTGACACACGCTCAGCCCGCTTATATTATAGATATAGTGATATATATATATATATATTTATATATATATATATATATATATATATATATATATATATATATATATATATATATATATATACATATATATATATATATATATATATATATATATATATATATATATATAGAGAGAGAGAGAGAGAGAGAGGGGGGTATAATAAAAGTCACCAATGTTCACAAATTATACATTTTAATATTCACTATACATTTTCCTAACTTTGCTTAGGTTTTAGAAAAAAATATATTACCTAATTCATAACCCTAAACTTATACTGAAGAATTATAAACTTAACACTATTTGTCATTAAACAAAAACCGTTTCAAATAAAAATTCACTAACCATTCTTCCCTCCTGTAGCTTATTTTATTACTTAAACAATTTGATACGTCAGTGCGAAAGCTTGGATGGGGGAGGGGGGAAGTGGTTTACGCTCGGCTGCAGTCCCAGTGTATCGGGTTCAGACACCGGACCCAATTATGTAGGACGTAGCTGGGACATGTACATACGTTATGGAAAACAGGCGGATGAAAATTGATATTTCTCATATTCAAACGACACATAAATTGATAAAACTCTACTTCATCAGCCCACTAAAAAAAACACTTAAAGATGATCGTTTTTTTTTTCCAGCATGGTTACTCAGCGCTTTTATCAGAATTATTTTGTCTGGAAAATAAAATTATACCAACATAACTGATCATGAAAGATTTGTTTTCTTCTTCTTCTTCTTCGTTCTTAATTATTAGTGATGAAGGGGATCAAGATTTATCTGCCAGTGGGTTTGAACTCGAGACTTTGTTCGAATTTATCAACCATGAGCTTTTTGCCGACTCGACCACGCCTCCAACACAATTAAGCGTTACGTGTCAACTGGTTATGCGCCATTGAGGCCATTGACTCCGATTTCAGCCTGCTTTTCTTTTTTGGATTTGCTTCCATAGCCTTTGTTCAACCAAGAACAAACTACAAGGCAGCAGTTGTTTAATTTTGGAGTTGTCTCTCCTAGAAGAGTGGCTGTCCCCAGCTAACGAGCCTCATCTGCCCGAGGGTTTGAACTCGAGACTTTTTTAAGTTTAGCAACCATGAGCTTTACCGACTCGACCACGCACATCTAAAAGATTTAAACAAAATAGGTAAATATGTATGTTAGGTATACTAAAGTGTTGCATGCCATAAAAATACTTTGATTTAGGTTTAAACTTTAGGTATAAACATGTTAAATCATTTAATTTGTTTTTCTTTGTGTAAGAAAGACATTAAAAAAACAATGTGCGGAACGTATAACGAACTGCTTAGCGAATTTGAGATAAACGTATCTGTAAAGGGGTGTGTCCTCATTAAGCACCATATTCCCTGCACTCCTCGGGATATGGGAATATAATTAAACATTTTATATTAAATATAAAAAATGTTCAATTTAAGCTCTATTTGTAAACATGAAAGTTTGTGAAAATATAAATATAAACACAAAATAATACATAAACGCAAAGGAAAGATAATTACAAACATAATCATAAACATTGACGCAAATTCAAACATTAATGCAAACAAAAATAACGGAACTAATAAACGCAAACTATAACGCAAACGGAAACATACGTAAACATAGAGGACATTTAGGAACGGGTTCTAAACTGTTATTGATTAAAAATAATATTTAGCTCACAGTACATTCACTTAGTAAAATAAACATGAATTTCGTATTTAAAACACTTGTGTTTTACCTACCACTCGATATCGATCCATGTTAATTACATTATTTTTCAAAAGTAAGTGCTTTTTTTGTTAGTCATCTATAAATAAAAGTAAATGGATGAAATTTGTATAATTTTTCAGACAGCATAATTTTTGTAAAGGGCAACGCATTTAATTTGACTTTTTTGTTCTTTAACTGAATTGAAATGTTGAGTTGCAAGATGTATCAAATCTTCTTGGTGTCAGGCATCTCTGTCCTGGGCTAGCCTCTCCAACTGTTGATTTGTCCGTCAATTTTATTGTGTACACATTTTCGGTGTTTAAACTTTGATTCTTTTCATGTTCATAAATACCTATTAGTTTTTATGTGACGTCACTATATTTCCCTGTTAAACATTTTATTTTCCTTGTGTCTTCTCTAAAACTAAAACGTTCTTGACAGAGTGACAGAATAGTAAAACTAAAACAGCGAAACAAAGTCCATTTCATCTTTATAGTTCGGTGCAATATTCTTTTTTTAAGTATAACAAAATAAAAAAAATAAACTTTAATATAGCCCGATTGCACTACTCAAGAATATAGGAGAAAGTTTATGGGAGATCATTCCTGCTTTTAAAAATCTATTTTCCTGGTTGTGGGGGTGTTCGATGTGCTAAGGGGGGGGGGGGGGAGGTGGGGGGTGGACAACGACGTGGCCTAGCTGTAGAAATCTAGGGTGCTTAGCAAAAAGTCTCGAGCTTGAATCCGGGTTCAAGTATGTAGAAATTCTCTGTGTCCACCAACATCTAATGTGTACCTAAAAGAGATGAAGTCTACTTCACCCCATCCATGTTTCTTAGGCACAAACAAGAAAAGATGATCGATGGTATAGTATTTTCCTTTAAATCTTAACAGGCTACTTTGATTGTATAATTCTGCCTCGTAATTAGCGTTTGAAAGCAACATATTCCATTGGTTGTTCAGAAAAGTTTTTTTTAATAAAAATAATCTCCATGCCTGTGTTTCAATGTATCCACTGTGACCTACTTAGGTCTTCTTTTTTTAAAAATTGTTTGATTTTATGAATATTTAATTGGCCTTGAGTGGTCTGTTGTTTAAGGAAGAAATTTTCCATCACACTCATGTGATAGTATTCATTACTGAGTTCGTTTGGCTCGTGCTTTGGCTACTTCCTCCCAATGGTCCTTCAAATTGAAGTCGACATCCCATAATTTTGGAGTCGTATAAAAAGCACGCATTTTCCTCGCACGGCATCCGACTAGATATCCACAGGAGAGAGAGCCACGTACAACGACATGTTGTATTTTCTAGTTTAAGCAGCAAGTACCAGTGTATTCAGTATTTTTATGTGTCTCGTTTTAATAATGTATAGGTAACTAACACAACCTAAAAGAAACTAAAATATTAAGAATAACACAACTCCATGCTTTGCCACTGCCCATGTGCCGACATTTTCGAATATCGTTCAATGTGGAATGTGATTTTATTCAGAATGCATTTCCCTATCCGTCAGTAATCATTAATTTGACGTTAGTGACGTAGCTTTTTAGCTTCCTACTGTTGAGCCGGGTACTTGACGGTGGGGTACGAGTTTACCCTGCGTTCAGTGGGGTGGAAGATAAGCCTGATGAGAACCAAAGGACAGAAGCGACAGACACGGTAATCATACAAATATCCAAGCCAGTTGGTCGGAGTTTGCCGAATTGAGGCCTGCCTGGCTAATGGGAGACACCTTCTAAGCCGGTGAAGTCAGTGAAGAAAGAAAAAAAAAAAAAAGAAGTTGACTGTTTCTATTACGGATTGGGATAGTACCAGAGGCGTAGCGATGGTGGGGGGGGGGGGGGGGGCAGGGGGACGACACATGTTCCCGGGCGCCGACCTTAGGGGCGCCAAAATGGGTTGGAAAAAGTAATCGAAAGTTTGAGGGGGGGATGCAAATCAAAAGTTTGAGGGGGGAGGGTGGTGCAAATCGAAAGTTTGAGAGGAGGGGGGGGGGTGCAAATCAAAAGTTTGAGGGGGGGGGGGGGGGTGCAAATCGAAAGTTTGAGGGAGGAGGGGGTGCAAATCGAAAGTTTGTCCCCGGGCGCCGGGAAGGGTCACTACGCCTCTGGATAGTCCTATATTTTCACTTTTTGTTTACTAATTTCATTATTCTGGCGAAACAAGTGTATATTTTCATATGAATAAATATTATTTCATATTTAAATTTATTTATTTTAAATAACAAATCAAATTTATTTACCTATTCCTAATAAAATAAGAAAAATGTTTGTGGCTCTTTGAAAATGGGAAATATTGAAAATTGTAACTTTTGGCTCTTCCGTCTCAAAACGTTGCCGACCCCTGGTCTAAGACCATCCAAAACGAATCCGGGTATTGCGTTATCTTTACCAGAGGAAGAGGTACGTAATACCACCAATTAATAAATTGATATTTATATTTACCGTGTGCATCTGGTCTGTGTTAGCCACGCAAATTCTTCCAGCGGGTGCTTTTGTTACCAAAACAACCAAGGCAGTCCAAAGTAGGGTAAACCCACAGATAAGCATTATAGATGATCTCCTAAGATTAAAAAAAAAACACTCTATAAGGTATGTTTATAAGTTTTTAGAGATCATAAATATCAATTTTAACATAAGCACTAATAGTATCACATTTTAAACATATATTTTAATATATAGACTTACAAGCTAAATGAATGTTAAATTTTATATGAAATTAATGAATTTTCAAATTTTAATTTACAGTTTTATCTATTTACGTTTTGATCACATGTCTTCCTTGGACAGAGCTGGATCTATTTCCTGTGTTTTTTGGCACCTGATATATCAGTATCGCAAGTATAATTGCAAGAGTTACGACACAGCATCCTAAACATAGACCACCTGCCCACCTAGAGACAAATATTTGAAATTAAAACTGAAAATAAAATACATCATAAACCAAGTAATTTGATAGCATAAGTAAAACTGAAGCTGAAAACCCTATTTACTCGTCCTCTTACAACTGTTTTAAAAGACAAGTAATTTGGATTAATCAGTAGCTTTTAATAATTGATATTCCTTTATAGATTTAATTTTAAAAACTGCTTAAATATCAGTTATTTCAAGAGATGAAGTAGCTAGTATACTAGTAACATGTTAAAATAAAAGTGCTCGCCTTGCCAAATTTTATTTTCTGAAGATTTTGCATTTTTCAGCCAATACGATTTTTTAATAACTAAAACACATCTATAAAGCCATGTGTTTGCCAAAAATGTATAATTTATTAAATTGGATTCTTCTGCAATTAATTAAAAAAGGTTAATGTTGAGATTAATGTTCGTTTTTTCATGTGCAGCAGAATTTAATTTTTTAATACAATTAGAAATATATTTAGGTATAGAAAAAAACAACTCAATCTGTTATAGAATGATATATGCATGCTTACTAAAAAAAAAGCAATGTACCGAATTTATTAGCCCCATAAATGTTTATCTTTAACATTCTCATTTTTTACTTGCAGTTAAAAATTATTCTATGTGCTGGACACCAATGCATATTTTTTTTTAAAAAAGCTCACTCACCTTTTGAACTCACTATCAGTTGCATGTTTCAAGCCTTTTCTAATTTCAGTTCTTGAATTCAAAATATGATTTTCAGACTGATGAGATTAGATAAATTTATTGATAAAAACTGATATTTCAAAAAACTATTTGAACTATTTACCAAAAAGATAACAAACGTTTTAAAATAACATTTCCTAGTTGTCATAATCCATGCATTAGCCCGATACGTACCTATTGATAATAATGATCTGAATTTTATTTTACTACTAGCCTATATATATATATATATATATATATATATATGCCTATATTTTAATGTTATTCTTGTTTGAGAAAAATATTTCTTAAAATAGTTATTGGTCCAAACGCAATGTTTTACTACACGTTGAACGATACTAGTGACAAAACAAAAAACATAACTAAATAGCATAAAAATCCGACACATTTATAATAACATAGACTAATAATACCTATTAGAAAAATCAATACCAAATTATATACATTATTAGTCAACAGAACACCATATTAAATGTACACGCTGATTAAGAGACTTAAAATTAAGAGACTTAAATGATTTCGTTAAAAATCCGGCTGTTCAATGGTAGTTATGTTGTTTTTAAAAGTAAATTTTATTAGTTTAGGCCGAGAAAATTGTATACATTTCATGGAGTACGTCTTGATAAGTAGGGCCTAGATCTAAATCAAATTTGAATGAATATTTCATTTCTTCGAATTCTAAAATTGGAAGATGACGCCATTAGAGTTTTGTTTTTTCCGTAGTTTCAACATGTGGCATGTGACTTCATTTTTATTGCGTTCTTGTCACGACAATAAACACTTTACCGGCGGCATAGTTAAATTTGTAATTCTACATTCGAATATCCCTTTTTTATTTTCCTGCTTTAAATAAAATTTATTTAATACATTTATAATATATAAACACATAACATAGATAGCTGAACATAATGATCACATCGCCTAAAATGTTTCAGACACAGAGAGAGAGAGAGAGAGAGAGAGAGAGAGAGAGAGAGAGAAATAGAGAGATAGAGAGAAGTGCACACATGGGCTTTTATATATTATGATTTGTGAACTTACTTGATTCTGTAAACTAGTTATCTTTAATGTTGCGTTCCAAATGAATCTCTTCTGTACATTTGTTACAAGTTCTAAAAGAAATATATTCCTTTAGTAAATTTAGAATTATTTTCCTGCATTTAAAATTTAAAAAAATGTTTTATTCGGTTTTTGTGAATACTGTTTTATGGTAACCGTTATCTATTTCTGTTTGTGTATTTTGTATTAAATTACAAAAAAAATATTTAAAAATTAAAAATTTTGTAATATCAATTTGATCAAAGTTCTATGTTGTAAAAATATTTGAACATAATGTACCAAATAATAGTGAATAGACAGCCAACCTTTTAAATGTCTTTTCAATATTGCATCAAACCATATGCTAAAATTCACTAAACGTTTTCTTTTCTGAAATGTAACATATTTTTAAATCAATTGTCATTTAACATGCATTTAACACAAATATTTCAAAATAATATATCTATGTACTATAAAAAGTTAGAAGTTTGTATATTTATATATTTAATTTTGTTTATTGGTTCAATTAGATGAGAGCATTTGCATTAGGTGTAGAACTGTAAATTACGCATTTATCTAGAGAATAATTTTCTTTTTTTACCAAACTGTTAAACACATATTTATTTAAAGACGTTAATTAATTTATTGATGTATTTAATTGTAGATACGTCCATTTAATTATAAAAGTTCAGAACAAAGACGTTATTTTAGTTACGTCACTAGATTTATTTACTTATTTTCACAACAAACATGGCAGCTTCTATATAAGACCATGTTGCCCATTCAAAAGTTTAACGCGTTATAAAGATAAATTGTGTGTAGGCTATAGGCCTACCTTTAACGATACGTCTGCTAGCTGTTTTTATTAGGTTCCAACACCATTAGCAATTTTCAATAGGATACGCTGGGCAGTTCTTCTAATTTGACTATGCAATAAATTTATCTAGATCTAGATATTCTAGATTTTAGATCTACCGATAAGCCAAACCAAAATTAATTGGTTAGAAACAAAACAAAAAGTTAAAAAAAACACAATAAATAATTGTTACTTTATTAAGCTTATGAAGTCCTTACACCCTTTATCTACTGACGGTGCTTGTAGGTGCCGATTTAATTAAGCGCCTATATTATTTTTAATTTAAGGTGATGTGCTCAATACTAAATCACAAAATTCCATGGATTTTCGTTCGTAATGGGTTTCTTTCACTTTTAGATACTTTGTCCACGTTTTTGTATTAAGAAAACAATAACTTAAAAGAGAAAAACAATGCATTTGTTTAAAATACCATTTTTATGTCCCTATTAATTAAAAAAAATATTATTTTTTCCCAAACTTAGAAGCTCTCTACAAAAAGTTTTATATCCGTCATCAAATTGTATATGGCATAGTTGGAAAGCTATATTTCTCATGTATTTGATAATCGTATTTTCCATAAACTCAGAAACACCCAAAGTTAACAATCTGCTCTAGAAATTACACAGATATTGTATTTTCGTGACCTACTTTTTGTTACTTTTTGCTGTTTTTCTCAGTTCGCAGTTTTTTAACACTAAAAACCAAACTAATTTTTAAATTATTAAACAATGCCCACCATACTTTGAGTAAATGTTCTTTATACAAAAATATAACTTTGTCACGAGAAAATTGTGATGGCTTTCAAAGAAAAAGTTTATGGGTTTTTGTGACGCTGTATGACACTGGGGAGGGGAAGGGAAAAGTTAAAATTCTTAAAATAAACATGACGTTACTTACGCAGTGGAGACGGGGTGGGGAAAAATCGCCAAACAAACGTGTTGTCATTTATGGATAACCCCTAAAATCCAGTTATCCAAGGACAATGCGTAGTCTAGTATAATTTAATATCAGAAAAATAATTTGAGTTTTAAAAATAATGGAATGTGTTATAAATAAAACTCTTCAATTTGAGTGAGCAGAATGTCTTACATGTGATTACATGCTATAATAATATTAATACTAAGTATATTATAAATGCAAGTCCTATGAAATACATGAAATGCTAAACGTAATGTACACAGATTTAACGTTTCTATATACTTACATCACTGATAGCTGATGCCCTGTTTTTTAGCTTTTCATTCAAGATAGGTAAGCTATCAACTGTGCTTGAGAACTGATTCAAGTCAAGAAAGAGTTACAAAAGTATCAAAAGCAAGCTAAGAAGCATACATTTAAATTGCAAACTTTATGATAAACTTGTTACATTATGTTTTGTTAGTAAAGGGTTATCCATTTATGACGTCTACAAAAATTTGGAATTTTTTTACCCCCACACCCAGTCCCACATCTTAACTAGGCCTAAATATTAAAAGCAGAGCATAGAAAATGTTCCAAAAATGGTTTATTTTAAACGATAGTATAAATTATGCTCTATAATATATGTTATCCAAAAAACTGCAAAGCATTAAATAATGATTTTTTTTCTGCACTGGTAGATTCCGTATAATCAATACATTTGTAAGGCTCATGACCTCTATCTCTGTTTACTTTATATCTCTTTATATCTCGTTTTATACCCACAAAATTACTCAATGCATTAGACGCGGTAACATTCGTGCTAAGTCTGGAAAATGTCTAGAAAAGTAAATGATAGAGATTTATAAGTCTGGAAAACCACCCGTTATAGGGCTGGCTTTTTGAAAAGTCTGGAAAATGTTAGGCTAGGAATTTATTTTTAGAAATAATACTTTTCTACGATGTCCGTTAATCTACGGCGTGTAAACTTGCCGTGTGAATGTGACAAGACTATCTAAAAAAACTTTATTCTTTATTAAAAGAGTAATCGTGCATGGATGCTGTAAACCTCTCGATTTTATGCACCATTTTACTTTTCTCGTATACGAAGTACAATGAAAATGTTGTAATCGTGCAAAAAAAAAACACACCTGATTTTGTAAAAATATGCCCCCCAGTCCACAGGCGTCCATAAAAGTCTATTTATCCCCCCCCCCCCCCCACCATGAGGACGACATAAATGGATGCACCCTAATAGCTTCCCTTGCATTACATATATCATGGCTATGTCTTTTGAGTATGTTCTATTTGTGTACTTCCTGTCAGTAACTAAGCAAAGCGACGTATTAGCTTTGACATGCTTGCCAGAGACTGTTCTCTACGTGTTTAATAAAGTTCTCAAGTAAACCTGACATTGAACATAGTTGTGTTCTACGTACGAGTCAAATCATTTAACGAAACCCACATAATTCTTTAGAATGTATTTAGAAAACAAGACAAATAAACCGGGAGTGATCTCCCCTAAACTTTCTCGAATATTCTTATATAAAACAACAGGGGATGGGAACTCCATTTTAAATACTTAAAGTTTTTAAAATAGAATAAAATCTCGTAGAAAAAAGAATTGCACACCAAGTTAACGCCAAAATAAAGATGTTCATAATAGTGCGCAATATTATTAGTACTTTATAAATTTACATGCGTTTTTGAGAAATCGGAAATAGCGTAAATTAGTACTTCCGGTCAACGGAAATTACTCACAATTTGACAGAAGGTAGAGAATTAGATCTTTTACTTAAATATGAAATTTCATTCATCTATCTGAAATAGTACTCAAGTTATAGGCTTTTGGAAAATTCAAAGTAGAAAAAGTACCACTTTCAGTTATCGGAAATCGCTCAAAAGTTGATACGGATCTACGATTGTGATAAAATACTTATATATGAAATTTCATCAACCTAGCTGTAACGGTACTCAAGTTATCGTGTTTATATACACACACAGACACACACAGACACACACTCAGACATACGGACAAGATTGCAAAATTATGTTTTTCCGTATCAGTGAGGTGTAAAACGTCGAGATTTGTAAAAATCTCGATTTTTTTTTGCACGATTACAAGACTTTCTCTATACTTCGTATATACGAGAAAGTAAAAAAAAAAAAAAAAAAAAAAAAACCAACCATTTATCATATAAATTTATATCAGTCTTTACAAAGCAAATTAGTGTTAGACTTACAAAGGATGTATTCAAATTAGTGTCATCGACACTACACTTGTTCAGTAATTGAACATCACCAACTGTCGATAACTGCTCTGTTGTACTAATAGTTAGGTTGAAAAAATCTTTCATGGCATTATCCAAGGCTACAAGATCGTTAGTTTGTTTGGAATTGTTCTTAACAACGTCTGTTACGTCTGTTGAAACATGAATTAGTATATTTATTTACATACACACGCACACGCATACGCACACACATACACACGCACACACAACACACTACGGACGTGCACACGCAAGAACGCACGCACACGAGAACACAAACACTCACATACAAAGTTATGTAATGTATTTTATACTAAAATTAATAACGAAAAGCTTTACGTTTACGACTTGTACAAGATTGCATTACATTTTTTAAAAAAGCTTGAGAAATGTGTTGACATTACTTACAACATGTTGGCCATTTCGGATAATCAGATATTTAGCATTCATTTGGATTTTATGAACCAGCTTAGAAGACGAAACATTAGGAGGAAGGGCAAAAAAAAATTAAAACGACTGATGATAACATCGCTCAAGTTGACCTCATGTCTAAAAAACGTGTTTGTCAAATAATAAAACAAAACTTAGGCATGAGAAAGTTGGAAGCGCAAGCGCAATCCGGATTAAGATCGTGTTTATATGAAAATTTGTACTGCTCAGTTTGGGTGGGTCGGAGAGACGTAATGGAAGAATTAGAAGAATAAAAAAGTCCCCCCCCCCACCCTCTCTCACACCACCCTATATATATTTACATCTACATCTACACAACTAAATCTTTCTCCCTCGTTCTCTCTCTCTCTCTCTCGCTCTCTCTCTCTCTCTCTCTCTCTCTCTCTCTCTCTCTATATATATATATATATATATATATATATATATATATATATATATATATATATATATATGTTACGGTCAAAGCCCGAAATGCGGCCAAAGCCCGCATTGGCCGGCCAATGTGCGCATTGGCCGTTCTTTTGGCTAAAGCCGATGAGCTTTGCACTGAGAGCGTATTTCGTACATTGGCCGGCCAATGCGCGCGCTGGCCGGGACGTACTGGCCAAAAGTCCGAAGACCTTTAACTTGACAGCGTATTTCCTACATTGGCCGGCCAATGCACGCACTGGCCGGGACGTGATGGCCAAAGTCCGAATTTTAAAAAATTGACAATGTATTTCACACATTGGCCAGCCAATGCGCGCAATGGCTGGATGTCCATTCTAGATTAAGTTGTGATCGCGTTTTCATTATTCGGGGTGAGGTTTAATAATCAATAAAGACTTAATTTCGTGATCCTTACGGTATGAAAAAAAAAACTAAATCTGCTCATGATCTTCTAATTAGGACTTTGGTCGGTCGTCCCTAGCCAGATGATCTTCTAATTAGGACTTTGATCCGCGGACTGGCCGGCCAAAGGCCGAAATCAAGTTAAGTTTCGGACTTTAACCTATTAGTGAGAGGCGATGTTGGCCAGTGCGCGCTTTGGCCGGCCAGTGCGCGCTTTGGCCGACTTCGGGCTTTGACCGTAATATATATATATATATATATATATATATATATATATATAGAGAGAGAGAGAGAGAGAGAGAGAGAGAGAGAGAGGTAGACTGTCACTAAATTTTAAATTAAATCATTTCCTAATTTAGAAAATAAACCTGTTTCATTACAAAGTATTTAAATCGTGAGATAGCAATACCACACTTATGATAGCTCTATCTCGTTCTATATGACATATATCATGGCTATGTCTTTAGACTGTATATTCTGCTTGTGTACTTCCCGTCAGTAACTAAGCAAGGCGACGAATAGGCTTTGACACGCTGGCCAGAGACTGTTCTCTACGTGCTTAATAAAGTTCACAACTTAAAATATTTGTGAAACACCATCGGTGCGTCGGGATATCTAAAGACGATTAACTGCTCGGTGAAAAGCAGCCGTCCGTCAATGTTTGTTACAGTTTTTTTCTCCGGGGAAGGGGCGGACGGTTGGGGACACTTGAAATATTATTTCTTACCGTTTTCCAAATCCTGTAACATTTTGATAAATTTAGGAAGGCCATCAATTTCTGTTAGTATTCTCCTATGTCCCTCTTCAGTAAAGTCTTTTTCATCTGAAAAAAATGAATACTTTGGGATTATTATCTTAGTGGATGTACAGATATGTACAGATGTATAGTTATAGGAATAGATAATGGAAAGGAACAGCGATAGGTGAAATGAAATTGGATTGGGACATTAATAGAGGAATATAAAGGGATTACAATATAGAAAATCAAATGGAATAGGGACACAAATAGGGAAAATGATAGTTTTAATTTAGAAATAATGATCGGGGTATAAATAAAGGTATGGATAGCTACAGCTACATATAAGGGATAGCGACAGCGATAGAGAAAATGACATAGGATAGAGAAAGAGATAGGGAAACATTACCTTCAAATTTAATTTTAAAAATGCTATTATTTGGCAAAAATTACTTAAAATTAAAAAATAAAAGCTAAATTAAAAAAAAAAATCTTTAAAAACACCTCTATAGAAATATTCTGCTTAGATCAGTGTTTGAATTATGCTTAGAAATATCAAAAGGTTTAGTTCAAATGTATTTAGAATGTCAACTTAATAATCTACAATCATAGACTAAAAAGCGAAATAGATATAAAAATAACTTACCAATGACAAGGCTTAAATTATCAGTTATCTTCTTCTCTAAAGCGAACCAAATAGAGCTAGACTGCAGATCAGTTTCAGAAGAAAAGAAACAAAATAACACATTACCCACAGTGTCGGAACTAGAAAAAAAGGCAATAAAAACTTTCGGCCCCTAGGTATATCTTTATATATATATATATATATATATATATATATATATATATATATATATATATATATATATATATATATATATATATATATATATAATTTCCAATATGTAATTTATTTTTGTACTTAAATCAAAATTGAAGTCCGAAAAAATTAATATTGATCATTTTGAAAACACATTTTCATTTTGCAATTTATAAATTTAATTGACGTACCGAGCAACGTCAAACAAATATAACCCTTCACAAAAATCTGATTTTGTATCAAAAAAGTATACACATTACATCCCTTTGCACCAATTAATTCTTTTAATAGATGACTTCAAAAAGTACATGAGAATTTTTGTTTTTATTTTCTTTTGATGTTGGAAAAAAATTATATAATTAGCATGGATTGATAAAGTGCAATCTAATAGGTAAAATAGCTTAGTACTCCCTTTTATTTATTGTATACAATGAATGAAATGTTTACTATTTATTATTTTTAATAAATAACAATTTAGAAGTTTTTCCTAAATTTCCTCTATTTTACGTTTATTGATCCGTTTGCACTAATGTTTGTGTTTATGTTCGCGTATATGTTTTGCGTTTGCGTTTGCGTTTAAGTTTGAGTTTATGTTTGATTTTGCGTTTAAAAAAAATGTTAAATCAAAGTTTGTGTTTGTTTCCGTTTATATTTGCATTTTTTTTATGTTTGCGATTGTGTTTATATTTTCACACAAAAAACAACATATTTAAATATAAGCCTTCAGTTGAAAAAGTTCTACAATATCCCAACCATCGGGGAGCACAGGGTATATAATGCTTAATGCGCACATAAATCACGTCCATATACAAATAACTTTAACCTTAAATGCCAAGGCAGGGCCTGTCAGGTACGGGTATATAGTAAACAAAATACAAATTACATGCTTAGAAATCAATTTAAAAATGAGTTAAACTTTAATAGACTTACATTTGGTTCATTATCATAGCAGCTCTTGTTGTATTGTAGCTCCAACTCTTCTTTTGCGATGTTTACTTGTTGGTTAGTAACGAGGACGCAACATCCGCACAATCTGGGTACAAATAATTTGCTAAAGTTACAAATCTTTACTAAAATTTAAGAAACGACAAACGCTTTTAGTTTTAATTATTTAAATAGTAGTTCATTATTACATATTAAAGAAAATCATTTATATCTTATTGTAAGTGTATAATTATATAAAAGCTTATTATTAAAAACGTTTTTTTATGAATTTTCCTTTCAGTACTTAAAATGTTTAATGCAATAGATTTTCATGACTAAAAAAAATGCGAACCAAATAAACACGAAAATTGTGCGCAGTAAATAGTACTTTATACAGGGAATTTATAATAAAAAAATCAATTAAGCATCAAATTAAGTGAAAATTGATGTCCGTTTGCACTTTCATTGGGTCTTGACCTACGTGCCATGTTTCTGAAAAATTGACAGGCTAGAAGAGTTCAAAAGTTCGCCTGCCATTTTCGATCCAGACAGACAGATTAACAGAGGAATCAAGTTTAAATAAATGCTTGGTGACAGGACAAATGATCTCAGGGCAAATGATCTAAGACAAAAAATCTCAGACAAAATATCTCACGGACAAATGATCTCAGGACAAATGATCTCAGGACAAATGATCTCAAGGACAAATAATCTCACAGATAAAAGATACCAGGACAAAATATACCAGGACAAATGATACCATGGACAAACTATCTCAGACAAAATATCTCAGACTAAATTTTAATAGCATATTCGATGATTTTAGTTGATTTGAACTTTTTTTTATTGACTGCAGTGTGGTTTTCTTTACTATATTTAATACTAGGCATGCTGCCCAGCTTCGCTTAGGCTTTCGAAAACATTGAGAATTTGAATGCTTAATTAATTCGCCCATATAAGGCGCCGGTCAGTCGAGGTCAGTTTTGACCCCCTCATCGTAGACTTTTCGGCCAACCGGCCCCCGTGTTCTGTCGCCCCAAGGCAAGATCCTGCCAAATTTGAAGCGCCTGCGGCGCCGGGAAGTGCCCTATCGGGCACCCGACAACTTAGCTTTATAGATCATCTAGATCTAGATCTAGAATCTCTAGATCTATATGATCTAGAATATCTAGATCTAGATCAATATCTAGATCTAGAATCTCTAGATCTAGAATCCAAATAGATAAAATAATTTTGTAAGTTTAGGCCGAGAAAATCGTATTGTATACATTTCATAGCGTACATAGCTCTAAATCATATTTGAATGAAATAGTTCATTTCTTTTTATTCTAAACTCGGAAGATGACGTCATCAGTTTCGTGCTCTTTTTTTTAGTGTAAACAATAAGCTACGTCATTGTTAAATGCGTTCTTGTCCCAAGTTTAAACACTTTTCCGGTTGCAAAAATAATACTGTTTCTCTACATTCGAATACGCCTTTATTTTGTATTTTTCTTCTTTAAATAAAATTGTGGTTATACATTTAAAACATCTAACATATTATTTTCGTATATATCGCTGCCGATTCTGACGTGATGTCCGGCGAAAATATTTTGCGGACAGACAGACAGACAGAGAGAGAGAGAGAGAGAGAGAGAGAGAGAGAGAGAGAGAGAGAGAGAGAGAGAGAGGGAAGAGCGCACATGGCCTTTTATATATTAGGATTGTTTATCAGCTTAAATAATAATTGTAAGAAATGTTTGGGGCATTAATTTGTCATATTGCACTAAACATTTTAAAATTGCGATAATAGTGTGCGAAGATTAAAGAAATGTGTCGACAGACAGCATAGGTGAGCTTCCAAACCTAAGATAATTCCACCACGTCAGGTGGACGAAACTAGATCAAAGGGGATGAAATGACAATGAAGACACACCTTCGTATCAAGGTGGCAGCCCGCTTTGATAGCAGAGACAGGCCTTAAAGGAAAGACTTCCGCCCTCCATGGACAATACAACTAGCATGTAAAGTCAATAGTTATGCGTCGGTCACACCTTAGAGATCAGGTGACAAATGCTTATTTAAACGACAGCGGTCATCGCGGAGAAGCGCTTGTCGTAGTGTGCATGCAAATAAAATAGTATTAGTGGTGATTACCCAGCTATGGCCTTTTTCGTTACATCACAGAAAGGGCATAGGACATTAGTTTCTGGCGAATTTCTGTTAGTAAACGCCATAAGTGGGGCAGCAGGCAAAGAGATTTGGAAATGTGAAGTAAGAACATGTCGAGCAAGAGTTCACACAATAGATGATCACATAGTATTGGAGTGGTCTAATCATGTTTGTGTTGATGATGCAATAAAAACAATGGTTTTACGTTGCAATCACATGTTCGAAAACTTTTCGCATGTTTTGAACATTAATATTGTATAACTACCTTTACTTTTTTTTATACATTATCATTTATTATAGCTTTCAAGCTAAAGGAGTAAGTTTGTTTTAATTTTTACTTCTTCAAATCAAATGCTATTACAAAGATTAAGTTGAATAAATCTTTTGATGTATCGTTAAGTTTAACAAATTCATTTTATTCACAATTATTTTGTGTAAAAAAATAAACAAACCCATATGACAGTCAACAGAAAGACTGTTCAAATCAACTAAAATCATCGTATAGGCCTATACTATTAAAATTTGTCTTAGAGATATTTTGTCTGAGATATTTTGTCCGAGATCATTTGTCCTGATATATGTCTCCTGGTATCTTTTGTCCGTGAGATTATTTGTCCTTGAGATAATTTGTCCTGAGAATGCCTGAGATCACTTGTCCTGAGATCATTTGTAATGAAACCAAATGCTTATAATAATGAGAAACAACTAAAATTTGTACTCATGCATCTAAATTAAGAATTGTTCTTTTTGTAATTTTTTATTCCATTTATAAGTATTTTATCATAAATTGAACGTCTTTTAACGACTTATCGCTTTTTAAATTTGATATAAAAAAAAACTCGCTATTTTCCATCTTCACACCGAAAGTCAGAACCCCAGTCAGAAGCCCAGTCAGAATCCCAACCTAAAAATTACGCCTTAACCAGCCAATCCTCGAAAATTGCAATTTAAATTTTATTTTTAAAATACAGATTTCTTTATAATATAAATACACGTAAGAGAATAAAGTTACCTGTTGGTTATAACAATTCAAATAATATTTGTAGGTTTATTATGTTATCAGCTGATTTTAGTTAACAATTAGTGATGTAAAAGGTCAAAGTGCAATTTAATAAACCGTTACTCACAAGACTGCGATGGCACCAATGATCACTGCTACCTTCCATCTGTGACTTGTTGTGTGGAGGGGACCTTGTGATTTCCTGAACAAGTCGAGGGTTTGACTGACACATAAAATAAATATGCCGAAGGTTGAAAGCATGGAGAATTCAAACAAGGCATACAGAATATCACCGAGGGCCTGTAGAAAAACAAGGAGCATTTATAAAAGTAACAATTGGTCATGCATTGAAATAATTTAACTGGTGAATTGTAATTAAGCGATTGTGACATTACAAGACGCGGTAGTCGCCTATGAAGTATTTGCATGTGTGTTTTTATAGATAGAACTTACTTTATCTTCCAAACTTTCAGAGACATTTTTTAAAAGTATTTGGAGTTTTAAAAAACGGCATTTATGCCCATATGTTGTGATAATTTGGTTATGAATAATTATTCGAGGTAATCTAATACCCCATGCTCGAACATATTATTTCATCGGTTGCTTGCTGCCCGAAAATTTCGTCAGGTATTTTCATCAGATTTAACCCATCATTTTGGTGGCAGTAGATTGGATTGTGAGAAGAGCCACTGAGGATAGGCCAAGAGGACTGTGATTTTGCTGATGACTTGGCATTACTCTCATCTGACCAGAAAGACATCCAAGCAAAAACCACAAAAATAAAGCAAATTGCCAAAACCTTAGGGCTAAAGATAAACTACGGGAAAACCAAGCTATTGAAAGTAAAAGCCAAAAGTGCTCTCACGACCGTTGCGAATGGAGTAGAGCTAGAAGATGTCGAAGCCTTTAAGTACCTCAGCAGCTATATATCAGCAAATGGCAACATGGAGAAAGAAATAGCCACCAGAAGCACAAGCTTTCAACAGACTTGCAAGGATCTGGAAATCATCCTCACTACAGCAGAGAACTAAAATAAGGATCTACAAGTCTAATGTACGTTCTATACTCCTCTATGCTGCAGAGTCATGGAAACTAAACAAGAAAGGAGAGAGCCGACTTAGAGGCTTTGAAAGAAGATCCCTCCAACGTATCCTCAGAATAAAGTGGTACGACAAAGTCCCGAACAAGGAAATACGACGAAGGACAGGTTTAAACTACATTGTTTCAGAAGTTCGAATGAGGAGATGGAGATGGCTGGGACATGTCCTACGCATGAGCAAAAGAAGACTCTCCAACATGGCGCTGATGTGGATTCGGCCTGGTAAACGAAAGAGAGGAAGACCACTGGGAACATGGAGGAGAGAGATGGAAGAAGTGCAGGCTACTGGCAAGACCCGGCATGAACTAAAGTGGCTCGCCGAGGACAGAGTGGAATGGCGGAGATTTGTTGCTGCCCTATACTCCACAGGGAGTGAAGAGGATTAAGTAAGTACTCTAATACCCCAGTCTCGAGCATATTATTTCATCGGTTGCTTGCTGCCCAAAAATTTCATGAGAATTAACCCTGCTTCACCGATTGACTGGAATATAAATATGAATGAAATATCCACAGGACCTGACAAACTATTCCATTGTTTGAACTATACGCAAAACGTTTCTGTACAAGACACCAACAAGGGCCAATGCCGAGCTTTGAATGGAGTCTTTCTTAGACTCTAGCACTTGCCAATGATGTACAGACGTAAATCGTTGTCCAGTTTATTTCATTTCAAACTTGGCATTTACATTTTTAATACCTCTAGTTTATCAATTGAAAACGACATGAATGTATAATAAACAGAATTTAGAAGAAAAATGTAAAAGTATACTTATAACATTGAGTATTCCATTAGCAAAATTTCTTAAGAACTTTTCAATTTTAAAAAGTTTTTTACCTTCAGATATTTTTACATTAAGTCATATCCACAAAAAATGACGTCACACCTCAGCATACCACCCTCTCCTAATATCAAACTATTTTTTTTTCTAAAACAATACATTCTTTCTAAAAGACCTACTAAGAGTTATACGATACATTTTTTTTTTACAATTCACAAAAAAATGGTCTTTATAAAATAGGAAATAACGACTCAGATTTGGTTTCTAAATTACTTTTTAAAATAGCAACTGTCTCTGTCCCCTGCCCCCCACCCCAGCCACACAAAAGCCCAGTTTCCAACCCATATTAATGCAATAGATATCGTATCAATGTAAATTTTAAAATGACAAAATCTGACCTGTAAATCCATGTTGTGTCACTGTGTTTCACTGTTTATCTAGGAGTAGGCTGATGAGGTAAAAACAGAAGGTTTAATTTTAATGGAAAAACAATTGAAAGACGTTATATGTCGTTTATTTAATCAATGCTATAACCCCGATCCTCTCCCAAAATGAAAGTTGTCTAATTTTATGTTACACCATTTGAGAAGGGACGCTCATAGTGTTTTGAATTTACAATTTCGAAAGATTTGAATGCCATTCATACAGCTCTATCATTTTCTTAAAATCGTTATGGTTTTCTTTTAATATTTATGAGAACTTTACCTTTTTAGACTACTTGCAAAGCTAATGTTTTAAATTTTGTATGAAAAATATAAAGTGTAACAGACAGAAATTACTGTTGGTTTTTTTAAAAGAAATATTTTTGCATTTGGTTGTCCTTGTTTCGAAAAAAAGTGAAACGAAAAAATTGCGTAAGAAATAAACCGGGAGTGATTTACCCTAAACTTTCTCGAATATTTTTATATAAAACTACAGGCGATGGCAACTCAGAGTATAGACATGATTTTTAATCCATTTTAAATACTTAAACTTTTTAAAATAGTATAAAATCTCGTAGAAAAAAGAATTGCACACCAAGTGAACGCCAAATAAAATGTGCATAATAGTGCGGAATATCATTAGTACTTATACATTTACATTAGTTTTTTGAGAAATCGGAAAAAAGCTTAAATTACTACTTTAAATCAACGTAAATTACTCAAAATGTGAAAGAAGGTAGAGAATTAGATCTCTTATTTACATGTGAAATTGCATTTATCTATCTGAAATAGTACTCACATTATAGGCTTTTGAAAAATTCAAAGCAGAAAAAGTACCACTTCCGGTTATCGGAAATCGCTCAAAAATTGATACGGATCTACGATAGTGATAATACTTATATGAAATTTCATCAACCTAGCTGTAACGGTTCTCAAGTTATCGTGTTTACAGACACACACACACACAAACACAGACATACGGACAAGATTGCAAAACTATGTTTTTCCGACTCAGTGAGGTGTAAAACATCGAGATCTGCAAAAATCTCAATTTTTCATAAATAAGTATTTTATAAAAATCGTAGATCCGTATCAACTTTTGAGCGATTTCCAGAAATCGGAAGTGGAACTTTTTGTATTTTGAATTTTCCAAAAGCCTATAACTTGAGTACTATTTTAGATAGAGAAATGAAATTTCATATTTAAGTAAACGATCTAATTTTCTGCCTTCTCTCAAATTTTGAGTACGTTCCGTGGAAAGGAAGTAGTAATTTACGCTATTTCCGATTTCTCAAAAACGTATGTGAATTTATAAAGTACTAATAATAATCCGCACTATTATGCACATTTTGTTATGCTTTCACTTGGTGTGCAATTCTTTTTTCTACGAGATTTTATTCTATTATACAAACTTTAAGTATTTAAAATGGAGTTCCCATTCCTTGTTGTTTTATTTAAGAATATTGAGAAAGGTTAGGGAAGATCACTAGTGGTTTATTATTCTTATGCAATTTTTTTACAGTACTTTATTTTTTTATCGGCAATAGAGTAGCGGGACTAAAAACTATTGCGCACTAAATGAACACTCATTTCAGAACATTTTAATTAATTAATAAAAAGGCTAATTAGACATCCTACTAAGTTAAGTAAAATTTAATGTCAAATTGCATTGTCTTCAAGTCTTGACACACGTGCCGAATTCGAAACGAATTGTCAGTTAGAGAAGCCCGAAATTTTGCTCGCCCGTTTTGATCTATGACGACAGACAGACTGAAGAATGAGGAAGCAAGTTAAATAAAAGCTTGTAAAAAATACTTGCAGAGCGTTTATTTACTATCACTGAACAAAATATTGATTAAATACAATTTATTGACAATAATGACCGTGAACATAACTTTTTTTCTTGATGAAGATGTGAATGTATGGATCAAAATGTCGATGAAACCTATGAGAACGTTATTATCGAGGGACCTGCTCCAGCCTAAGCACAAATTCTCACCACCACGATAAGGCATACGTTTTTTTTCCTGGTCAATCTGTGTTGCATTCATTGCTCATATTCTTGATCCCACCTACTATAGTGAACAAAGCTCATTTGCCCGTAGGCGTAGCGAGGGCGTGGCGTGGGGTTCGGATCTCACCGGGTGACACAATTTAGGAGGATGACACCAAGGCTTTTCTAAAGTATATATTCTAAATATATACATATACATATATATATATATATATATATATATATATATATATATATATATATATATATATATATATATATATATATATATATATATATATATATATATATATATATATATATATATATATATATATATATATATATATATATATATATATATATATATATATATATATATATATATATATATATAAAACTTATTTCTTTGGGGGTGGGAGACATCACGAAGAGCCGGACCGGGTGACACACATTCTAGCGACGCCATTGCATTTGCCCAAAATACGACCAGCTAAACGTCCTCGTGGGGTTTGAAAAAGGAGACAAAAGCAAGATATTTGTTTCGACTAGAGACATTGGCAAACATACTATCTAATCGACTCTGCGTATATTAATATAGCAATAGATGCTGATTGTAATGAAGATCCCAACGGTTTTTTAGGCAAATAAAAATCCTTGTTCTTTTGAGAGCTTGGTAGCTCTGCAAATCATATTGAAATGACATGTAATATAATATTGATGCTCTCCAAGATTCGCAAGAAATCTGAGCATATTTGGGAGGGAAATTTACGATGGGATATCATGTGTTCTATGGGACGGAGTGGTCTAGCGGTAGAGAGCTGGACTGCTAACCCTTAAGTCTCGAGTTCGAATCCGGGTTCAAGTCAGTAGACCGTCCCTGAGTCCACCCAACTCTGATGGGTACCTAACTCACGTTAGGGAAAGTAAAGGCGGCTGGGCATAGTGCTGACCACACTATCTCTTCATGTGCCGAGGTCACAGAAACAAGTGAACTCTACTTCACTTGCCCCATAGACCGTCAGGTTTGAAAGGGAAACTTTACTTTTTTTCATATGTTCTAACCTACTGACTACTGATTTCCATGTTTCATACGTTGATAAAGCGACGCCAAATTACAGACGAAGTCAAAAATGAATATATTATACGTACATAAGACAATATTAATACAATGCAATAACCAAGCTTGAATATAGACGAATGATACCAAAAGCTCTCATTTAGGGATTACAAGAAAGAAGTATCACCCCAAGACCTGATTTTAGATGCAAAAAGTTCACTACAATCCAACATGAACACACTTTGAAAAATGAAAGTTTGAAAAATGCAGGAGCTGTACGCATGGTGCAGTAGAAAATAATGAGAACAGAGCGTAGAATATGTATGATGATTGCCACGTTCACGTATGTTACATAACATTATATAACTGCTTCCTGAAGAGCCATTCGTAGATAAATATACACTTATAAAAGACATAACTCTCTTACCATTTCTGAAATGTTTCGATTTCTAATGTACCAGAAATACCATTTACCCCTTAACGCCGACAGTCGCGTTTTCGCGACATACCGATTTAGCGCATTGCATTTGCGCATAGGTAGGCCCTACATTTATCCTACTGCTGCCGGTCGTTGTGTATTGGGTACATCCAGACGGTTGTATCGGTACCAACGGTCACGTTGTCAAGTCGAAATTTATGACGTCACACTCTCTTGACTCACGCGCATCGTAATATTTAGACTTCGTGAATTCAGTCTACTTTCATTGATTATTATTACTAAATAGGTGATCCGTTTTTTGCTATAAAAAATACTAATAGCTTTGTTATTCACTCTTTTATGCATATAAACAGTATAAATTACATATGAGATAATTTTGGAAATTATCTACTAATTACGGTTTGTCGCGTTTTCGCGACAGCCGGCAATCTATATATATATAATTCTCTTCTGGGAGACGCTAGAAAACAAGCTGTAGGCGCGCTTCCTACCACCCCCACCCCTCTGGTGAGCTGTGGTTCACGCTATGTTTACATTCGTGAAGTCGGGTTTAGTGACGGCTATTAGGGGCAGATAATTTAGTTTGAAACGATTTTAAACTTAGAGGAGGTATTTAAGAGGAGGCTGCTTTCACGGGGGGGGGGGGGGGGGTGTTAGGGGAAAAAGGGGGGGGGGGGGTTAGTGTTTTAAAGCAAATATTTTCAGTGGCAGCATTGGTACTGTCGAATTCACAAATTATGATTTACTGAAAAGTAGAAAAAAAAAACCAATTAAATAGCGGCGTATGATACGCAGCGGGTCGGCTCGTAGGAGATAAAATAGTACTTGGGTGCCAATCAGGTATAACGAAATACGATGCATCGCCAAGCTGTCATTCATTCAAGTTTGATTATAAGTAAAGAATTTACAATATAGTCTTCGCCTATATATAAAAGTGCACTTTAGAACGTTACGGTCCATGTGGTAGGTGAAGTAGAGTTCACCTGTTTCATTGACATTGGCATATGGAGAGAGAGAGAGCGATCCTGGAATAATGTGATCATGTTGATGGGTACAATATAATAAATTTAGCTTTGAATTAGTATTGTAAAATATTAGGAGAACATAAAAAAATAAATAGGCAACAGGAAGTGAGGTGGTGGACCACTATTTTTGATACCACCAAAGAAAGGTCTTCACAGTGACCAGAGTTTCTTCCAGGCATCTCTTCGGGGGGGCCAAGCCCGAAAAATTTTTACCGCCCCCCCCCCCCCTGAACGAAATGAAATTTATATAATTTATATAGAAAATATATACTTTTAACAGTGTCCGCCCCCCCGAAGTAAGTTTACCGCCCCCCCCCCCCCCGAAGATTTCAAGTGCCCCCCCCCCCCCCGGAGAAAAAAGTCTGGAAGAAACACTGACAGTGACCATGACAATAATAAACTTGAGCATAGACCTACACCTCGTAATAAATACAGTAAGGTTGAGTACTGACAAACATGCCCTTTGCAGTGCTATTGAATACCCACATTAGTGGATTTATAC